GGTCTCTTGTAGGAAGTGTTGTATTTTGTCGCGAGGTGCCAAGTACAGCTTGGACAGATGTTTAAATTCTGCCAGAATTTTTTTTGGATTGCCTATTCAGGTACTAAATCTGGTTTTGAGCACTATAGGGGTAGGTTTGGAGGACAACGTCTTTGGATTGCCTATTCAGGTGCTAAATCTGGTTTTGAGCACTATAGGGGTAGGTTTGGAGGACAACGTCTTTAGATTGCAGACTAGCGTAGCATCCACTTTGTTGCCGAAAGCTCAGAACGATCCGTCATGCAGAGGTTTGGGTCTGATCGGCTACTGTCTGTTTTACTGTTAGCTTATGTGGGGTTAGCTTTGAAAGTAATTGGGGCCTGTTTAGATCAAATTCGTTTTTTAGGATACGTTGCATACATTTGGACACGTGTTGTAAAATATGTGGCCTCTGATAACACCTTATAGGCTTCCCACAAGATGCTGGTGGTAGTGACTGAATACTTGTTTAATATATAAGAAAACTGTAGATTTTAATTCTAGGTGGGTGACTTATCTGTTCTATGGATAGCAAGGAGTCATTCATAGTAGTAGAAGAAGTGGACAGCTTATGGAGCATCAGCTTGCAGGTAATAAGGACAGGATCATGACCACAGGAATATTGCTGAGGAAATAAGTGGGAGAGAACGTTGGTGAAGGAACATGTGGTCTACACAAGAGTGGCAATGGTGGGATTGGGGTGACTCAATCCCATAATATTTGAGTTTAGCTTGGGTGTTAGAGTAGATTGACCTAACCCAGGCTATGAAGCGACTGAACAATAAGTATAGTCCTAAGGGTGGATATAGCTCTGGTCAGACATAAACTACTAAGTAATAATGGTTCGGCCTCACCTGGAGTATGCGGTGCAGTTTTGGGCACCGGTGCACAGAAGGGATGTCCATGAGCTGGAGGGAGTCCAGCGGAGGGCAACCAAACTCATCAAAGGGATGGAGGACCAGAACTATGAGACACGGCTACTAAATTTAAATATGTTCACGCTGGAAGTAAGGAGATTAAGGGGGAGATATGATTTTCATGTACAAAATGTTCCATAGTCATAGCGGCATTAGCAACAAACTCTTTAAGATTAATTCCGTAACAAAGACTAGAGGCCACCACCTAAAACTGGTAGAAAAAAAATTCAAACACAAGGGGCGAAGGGGGTTCTTCTCAGTTCGAGCGGTTAGGGTCTGGAGCTCGTTGCCACAAGCAGTGATTTCAGCAAATAGTGTGGAATCATTCAAGAAGCTTTTGGACGATTTCCTGAGAGACCGTAATATACAGAAGTACAGGTACTCTTAAGAATGAGATGCCTCAAGGACCTATACACACACACACAATAGGTTGGACTTGATGGACATATGTCTTTATTCAACCTCAAATACTATGTAACTATATTTGGTTGAACCGTTTGTTCCCAGGGAATGGTTGCTGGTTTTTAGCTGGGTATTCAATTTGAGGTTTAGGACAAGCCTGGAGTCCCCACAGAGGAGTATAGTGCCCATCAAATGTGCTTGAAGTAATGAACAAATATGGGTTACAAAAGGGGGTTGGTATGTAATAGAATAGAATGGTGACCCCCAGTGTCTTGTAGCGCACCCCGCATAACTCCTCCCATGATCCGGGGCTCTGCTTGCACCAGGGCTGACGGCTCTTGAGAGGCACCGGAACATTGTAAAGTGTGATGACAAGGGGACCGGGGCATAGACTGCAGCTCGGGATCACCTGTTGTCACTCCCAGAATTGGATGCAGTGGGGGACATGGAGGGGAGAAGGAGGCAGGTAAAAAAAAAAAAAATAGCATTAGAAGACAAGTTATTTTTAATAACTGGCGCATGGGTGGGTGAGAGGAGGGAGAGCGTCACATGGAGATAGGCTTTAAAGAAACCCACTTATAACAAATAACGAACTCTGTAGCCAACTAAGAAAT